GGGGTTTCATGTATCAAACTGGCCTTAGGTTTGCTATGTAGCCAAAGATAACCTTGAACTCATGATCTTCCTGCTTCTACTTAAGAAGTGCAAGGACTTCAGGTATGTATCATCATGGTTTCCTGGCTTCGGAATTCTTTTATTTGTATTTTAACCTTTTCATTTATGAGCTAGGTAATTCTCTAGTAGAGACTTCATTTTACAGTGTGTATGTGTGTGTGTGCGCGCGCGTGTGTTGGGGGTGACAGTACTAGCAAAATATATTTGAGGCAACAATAAAAAAGTTTTAAAACTGATGATCTTACTCAATGGCAGACTTCATTCTGGAGACCTACTCATGCACCTAATGTCATTAATATCTGTTTGGGGTAAGTTTAGAGTCCGCAGTGAATTGGCTTTAGTCCTGAATTGTAAAGACAGTTACTGTCTCTTTCAACACCGTCTCTAGGGACTATTCCCAAGAAGCATTTTTAGTTTCTGGTGAATAGTAGGTAAATATACAAGAATGATCTAGAGGCAGTTCTTTGTCTACTTGCGTGAGAACATTTAGGTGTGTATTAAAAGTAAGTTGCAAAACAGGGCATGGTGGTACACTCCTTTAATCACAGCACTTAGGAAGCCATTAATTCCAGAATTTAGGAGGCAGAGGTGAGCAAATCTCTGTGAGTTCAAGGCTCGCCCATTCTACATACCAAGTTCGAGGTCAACCAGGGTTACATAGTAAGACTCTGCCTCAGAAAAGGGGGCGGGGGGAGAGTGGAGAAATGACTCATTGGTCTTCATAGTGAGTTTCAGAGTGCTCTTTTCCCTAGGGCTTGAGTTCAGTTCCCAGAACCCATGTCAGGGAGCTCACAAATGCTTGTTACTCTAGCTGGCCTCCTAGGGCACCTACATATGCTTACATAGATATATATACAGAAAGAAAAAATAAAAAATAAGTTGTAGAAATGGAAACCAGCCGGGCGGTGGTGGCTCACGCCTTTAATCCCAGCACGTGGGAGGCAGAGGCAGGTGGATTTTTGAGTTCAAGGCCAGCCTGGTCTACAGAGTGAGTTCCAGGACAGCCAGGGCTACACAGAGAAACCCTGTCACGAAGAAAAAAAAAAAAAGAAAAAGAAAAAAAAGAGAGAAAAAGAAATGGAAACCAGTCTGTGGTAATGTATTGGAGAGAAAAGCTCATACTAAAGTTTTTCTGACTTGGAAAAACTTGGTTTCAATTATGAATTCTCTCTCTTTTTATTTTTGTTTTTTGTTTTTGTTGTTGTTGTTGTTTTTCGAGACAGGGTTTCTCTGTGTATCTCTGGCTTCCTGGAACTCACTCTGTAGACCAGGCTGGCCTCGAACTCAGAAATCTGCCTGCCTCTGCCTCCCAAGTGCTGGGATTAAAGGTGTGCGCCACCACTGCCCAGCTCAGTTATGAATTCTTAAGGGCCACCCATAATCTTATCCTTGCAAAGAGTTAGAGGCCAGTCTGAGCTAATACTTAGTAAGACCCTGTCTCAAAAGACTAGTTCAGGAGGAAACTACTTGCCTCCCATGTGCAAGGCCATGGCTTTGATCCCTCTGTGTTTTTATTTGTTTTTGGAGTTCTCCAAAGATCCTGCTTCAGAGTTAGTTTACTTCATATTGTCCCTTGTGAATGTAAGACTCATTTTGATCAATGTGTAACAGATCTGCCTTTGGGTCGCATGCTATATACCTCTATAATACACCCACATTTTTACTTCCTTTCCTAACTAAAGTGGTTTTGGTGATGATAAAGTGGAACAAAGTTAGAGTAACAGATATTTTAGGCAGAAAATAAAGAGTTAGTTCTCAAGGTCAGGGAGAAAGTGTATATACTTTCTTTTTTTTTTTTAAGATTTATTTAGTTTATGTATGAGTACACTTGGATCCCATTACAGATGGTTGTGAACCACCATGTGGGTGCTGGGAATCGAACTCAGGACCTCTGGAAGAGCAGTCAGTGCTCTTAACCGCTGAGCCATCTCTCCAGCCCGTGTATATACTTTCAAATTAAAGTTTTCTTTAAAAAAAAAAAAATGTGCATGACAGTACACACCTTTAATCCCAGAGCTCCTGACAGAGGCAGAGGCAAATGGATCTCTGTGAGTTCTAAGACATCTACATAGTGAGACTCTGTCTCAAAACTAAACAAAGAAAAACTTCCAAAAACTAGATTCAGTTAAAATATACAATAGTAGCAAATATAGTGACTTAAAAAAAAAACTAGATGTAGTTAAAATAGAATAGTAGCAAATATAGATTTAAGTGATTAGGTAGACTTAATTTATCTCTTCCGAGACAATCCCTTAAGGAGTATGGGCAATGCCAGGATGTTCCAAAAGCTCTGGGGTTTCACTCCATTCTAGGAACTTTCTGGTTCAGTATCTTCTATCCATTCAGTAAAGAAGACTTCAAGCAAACCTGTAATGCTTTTCAGTTGTTCTCATTCATTCCTCATTGCATCAGTTAACATGTTCTGTTTCTGAGGTTAAGAGAAGGAAAATTATGCATAGAGTCTAAAGGCCTGGATTAAAATGCTGACTCCTATTTAAAGCAGGTTACTTGTTGGGGTTGCCTTAGGGCTTAAAGGATGACTTTAGGCTTGAATTAGTGGACTACTAACAATTCTCTTTTTACTAAAATATCCTTTACATGTAAATATAAGCAACTTATAGAGAATCTCTTCTATTTATGGATTAACCTGTGTGATTGATAGCTGTGAAGAGAAATAAGTAGGTTAAAATAGGAATAGAGAATGTAGTATACCTTCCTATCTTAAGTTATTTCATACCTATGGAAAAGTTGTAAGAAACAGGGTGTGTGTAGTGTTTGCCTAAAATCCCAGCACTGAGGAGGTGGAGGTGGGAAAATTGCAAATTCAAGGCCAGTCTGGGCCACAGCAAGACCAGATCTGAAGGGATGAGGAAAGAACTTAGGGAGGTTGGGGCAGTTGCTAGAGGTCTACTATACCAGGTAAATTGTCTGTGTAGAATTAGATGTAAGTCTGTTTGGTGGGAAGCCAGTCTGTTCACACCATCCTTCTCTCCTGCAGAGTCTTGAGAGCTGTACTCTGGTCAAGGTTTTGCTACTAATTTTGGTAAAAACTGTTGGTAAAGCCTTTCCCACTATCCCTGGCCTTGATATAGCATGCTGTAACTAGCTTGAGCTTTTAAACTAGACATACATCCTTTAGCTCTTTAATAGCTCTTCAGTGTAATTAATGCACTAAATGCAAAAATAAAAATGGAAGCTTTATTCACCATATTTGATGTTGAAATCATTGCTACATCTCATTTCTGTATAAAAGAGATAGAACTACCATAATTTTATTGGTGTTCTGCAGGCTGATGACTCAGTAGTTTTTATTCTTTGGGGATATACTATCCAGGGCTATTGAATTTGTTCCTTATTTTTGTAGTTACCGTCTTTGCTTTTATTTTTTACATTTATCTATTTATTTAGTCCATGCATGTGTGTGGGCTTGAGTGTACGTCTGGAGATCAGAGGTAAGCCTGTGGGAGTTGCTCTTCTTCTTCTTCTACCGTGTAAGTCCTGGCGATTAAACTCAGGTTGCCAGGCTTGGTGTCAAGTGCTTTTACCTGCTAGCCATCATGCTGATCCACTAATTCCCCACTTGAAATCAACATTTCTTTAAAACTTTTAAAGATGTTTTTGAGGCAAGGTCTCACTGTGTAGCCCTGCTTGTCCTGGAGCTCACTCTAGAACAAGTTTCTCTTCAACTCAGAGATCCACTCGTCTCTCAAGTGCTGGATTTAGATGTGTCTGCCACTACTCTCAGCAGAAGTCAGCAACTTCAGCCCTCCCTTCTGGCAGACCATGGGGTACTGTTTCTAGGAGATCAGGGATACAGTGAGATTGGGTCTTCAAATTGTCCTTCCTTGGGGCTGGAGAGATGGCTCAGCGGTTAAGAGCACTGACTGCTCTTCCAGAGGTCCTGAGTTCAATTCCCAGCAACCACATGGTGGCTCACAACCATCTGTAATGGGATCTGATGCCCTCTTCTGTTGTGTCTGAAGATAGCTACAACGCACTCACATACATAAAGTAAATAAATCTTTTTTTTTTTTTTAAATTGTCTCTTCTTTCTTTGGAGTTCAATTCAACTCCCCAGACCCTCTTTATTTTCCTGAAGGAATTATCTCAGTTTTGATTGAGATAGATTTTCTAGAATCTTTGATTCAAGATTGTAGACTGGTAGCTCATAGGCTACATGTGGCTGGCAAATGAGTTTGAGACTTAGCTAATGTTTAAGTATTTTTTATATGTATCTAGTACTTAAAAAGCCAGAGCACTTTACATAAAAACCCATATTCCACTTCCTAGCTTGGTTCTACATAGAACGTTTGTTGGGACTGGAGAGTATCAGCCAGAGGTTCCTGTTGTCACCACCAATCTACTATATGCCTGGCCTCTGTAGATACCCTAATCTTTAGCTCCATGTCCAGAACTGAACCCCAGTTTCAAAAGTTAGTAAAGTATTGGATGAGCCACCTTAGTGGTAAATACCTTAACCTTAGTTATCAGAGGCCTGCTTTCATACATAGGTAGAAAAACAGTTCATAAGTAGGATCAGGAATTTCTCTAAAATCGCTGTTACTCTATCTCTGTCAGAATTTAATTTCCATTATTATGGAGCCAGTAGTGGTTTCTCGATCCTATAGAGAGGAAGAAGCATCACCCTCTATAAACCTGTTCAGTTCAGATTTGCAGCTTCTATTTCTGCACAGGGGTGCCATTGCCAGCAGAGGGTGCTGTCCACTCACTGAGTCTTCTGTTGTCTTGGCTCAGCTGAAAGCAGCTGCTGGGCATGTGCCCTGGGTCTGTGTGAGAGTTTGGGCATGTCCATTTGGTTCCCATCTCCAGTGCCCACCCCTTTAGACCCTGGCCAGGTTATTGTGTCACTAGGGACTGTATTCAGAAACAGGAAACTGGGGAAAGTTAATTGTTTTCTCCTCTCCCTTTTTCCCATGCAGCTGAACAAAAGGTTCATCCTCAGTTTTCTCCATGCCCATGGGAAGCTGTTTACCCGGATTGGGTAAGTGTGCAGGATGTTTATTTTATTTCCCTACATTACAAGTCATTTTGGAATTTAATATTGTTAGCAACTAGCCTGTGTTTGTAACCGAGGGCACAGGGTGTGAATTCTTAGAGGCCTCCACCTTTCCTTCATTCTCTTTCCTACTGTGCTCATAAAGTTTGAGAGATATCACTATCTTTGTCTCTCCTTGTTTTCTTTCTTTCCTGAAACCATTCTTTTAGGACAGTCTTTCCCAGCCCCCTCTTCTCGTCCCTCTGGGTTTCTGTTGACTCTGCCTTCCTGCTTAACTCCCAGGAAGTCTGAGATAGTCATGCTATATCCTTGGGTGCAGCTTCCAGGGGTCCTCCTTGGGGAAAAATTATCTCCTAATCTCTCCTCAATAACAGAGTAACATTTTCCTTCCTCTGTGGTCTTCTGACCTGACCAACTTCCTATGTGCTCAGTTCCATGTGCCACATTGCTGATCTCAGTAAATCCCTGTAAGCCCCAGGGAAGGCAGTATGTGTAGAAACTTAAGACTTTCTCCCTTAAGTTCCTGGGAAGAGTTTTGAGTGTTCCTTTTGTGCATCAGAAGAGTTTTTCCTAACAATGTAAAACTCATCATCCAAAAGCTTGACAATGCCTTCAATGTCAGAGGAGATGTGTGCTGAGTGTCTCTGCGTAGGGACTCCTTGAGTAAAGGACACTAAAGAAGCAGCAGCCTTTCTATAAAGGTGTGCTGCTCAGTTAGCTTCGGGTTTTTTGAGACAGGGTCTCTCTGTGTAGCCCAGGCTGGCTTAGAACTTGGCAACCTTCCAGCCTCAGCTTTCCAAGTGCTGGAATTCCCAAGAGTACCACCATGCTTGTGTTCCTGTTGATTTTCAGTCTTTTCTGAATTAGAAGTTTTACGTACGGTGAGCTGCCCTTTGAGGTGATTGGCTTCATATTGCAAGTCTCCTGTTAAGGCGTTTCCCTTTTTCTTCACTGCCATGAACTTGTAGGGTTCCCTGTAATTACATAGATTTCCTGTGGGAAAACAGGATCAAGTCAGCTTCTATATACTCTGTGTTTACTCTTTTGAGACGATGAAAGGCTTTGTGTCCTGCTTGAAGAGCCATTGCCCTGTTGCTTGTGAGTGAAAGTATGCTTCACATTGTATTTGTCTGGCATCATTTTGGGCGAGAGTAATAGTCATGGCCATTTCAAGGATATTTTAGATTCTGAAATGACTTGGAATCATTGGAGAAGTGCCAAAAGATAAAAATCTCTACCATCAGAAATAAGTGTGGAGTAATTTATTTGGGAAAAATAAACTGTGTATGTTAGTTGCTTCTAAGTTCTCCCTAGCACTGTCAACACATGCTCCAGTGGAAGAAGCTTTGTCTAACTCAGCTGTATTCTGAGTGCTCAGTTAACAGTTATGTGGATGAAGAAATAAACATTCTAAGAAAAAGATTGGAAAAGGCCAGAGAAAAGTATCTGGTAATCCAGTAGGTTCTGGTGGACTGCAGCTGGTCATCAGTGAGTGCAAAGCTGCAGTTATGATGGTAGCTGACATGTTCAGTATAGACTGGTGAGAGAACAGGATGCAGGAAGTACTAATTGCACGATTAAAATAAGCTAATGCCTCTCCTGTTAGCTAGCTTCTATGGTTGCCAGTTTTCACCTTTCTTTTCCTACCTTGCACTCAACTCTTTAACTCCTGTTCTTTTCTTTGTTTCTCCTTTCCTTTCCCCTGCCCCCAGGCCCCGTCATGTAGCTCAGGCTATGCTTAAAGTTCTGATCCTCCAAAAAAAAAAAAAAAGTTCTGATCCTCCTTGTGGCCACCTCCAAAATGCCAGGATTGTACTTGTACGCCCACACCTGCTTTCCCTTTATCAATGTCCAAGTTCACTAACTTCCAAACTATTGACATCTTGAGCTTTGAGAGCCTGAATGTTTGTAGCACCTTTCTACACAACAGTCACTTACTCCACTCCCAAGTTGTGATTAAAACTGTCTCCAGACAAATGTTCCTTGGGGGCCACAGTGCCCCTTGTGGAGACCTACAGTTTCAGATGTGTCTTGTTCATCAGAAACATGGAACTCAAAAGCTTGTATAAGCCGGGCAGTGGTGGCGCACGCCTTTAATCCCAGCACTTGGGAGGCAGAGGCAGGCAGATTTCTGAGTTCAAGAGTTTGAGGCTAGCCTGGTCTACAGAGTGAGTTCCAGGACAGCCAGGGCTACACAGAGAAACCCTGTCTCGAAAAATCAAACCAAAAAAAAAAAAAAAAAGCTTGTATAAGTCTTACTTCAGAATGTATGGAAAGAATATTAAGGATATATATTTTTAATGAGATTAAGTATTAATTATAGCTTATTTTATTTCTCTTTTAGAATCCTCATTTAAGCATAGATACTAGGAACAAATCTAGGGAAAAGCTACAGTAATGATTAACAGCTGGAAAAAGAGGACTAAGGATGTAGTTCAGTTGGTTTGTTTACTTGCCTAGAGTTCAGGAAGGCCCAAGTTCAGTCTCCAGCACCAATAAAAACTGGGTGTGGTGGCATTCATGTAATTCTACCACTCAAATGGTAGAGGCAGAAGAATCAGGAGTTGAAAATCATCACTGGCTGTATGACAAGTTCTTTGCCAGCTTAGGATACATATGAGACTATCTCAAGAGAGGGGGGGAGGAGAAAGGACAGAGACAGAAACAGAAACAGAGACTACGAATGAATTTCACTTACTCTAGATTAATTTTCTGGATCGCTAATGTTCTTGAGTATAACATCAGTTGTCAAAAAGTCAATCCAGGGCTAGTGAGATGGCTCATTGGGTAAAGGTGCATGTCACAAGACTGATGACCTGAGTTCTATCAATAGGGAGAAAGAGAGCCTACTCCTGTGATTTATCCTCAGACCTCCATCTATGCATTGAGACACATGTGCTCCAACATACACTGTGTCTCTGTGTCTGTCTGTCTGTCTGTCTGTCTGTCTCTTTCTCTCTCTTCCCTCCCTCCGCCCCTCCGTCCCTCCATCCCTCCCTCAAAAAAAGATAGTTGATCCAGTTTTTGTCTTTTTGTTTGTTTGTTTTGTTTTTTGTTTTTCGAGACAGGGTTTCTCTGTGCAGCCCTGGCTGTCCTGGAACTCACTCTGTAGACCAGGCTGGCCTGGAACTCAGAAATCCGCCTGTCTCTGCCTCCCAAGTGCTGGGATTAAAGGCGTGTGCCACCACTGCCTGGCCAGTTTTTGTCTTTATAAAAGGTGAAACATGGTCCTTTTCAATAAAGAAAACGTCTATCAATTGTAGACATACTTCAGTCTCTGAATGAGTATTCCTCTAATACTGTTCTTGAGATACGAGAAAGTAACATTCCTATTGTTAAAAAAAAAGGGGGGTGGAGGGGGCTGAAAAGATGGCTTAATGACTATAGAGAGATATTGCAGAGATCTTGGCTTTTATTTCCGGTACCCATGTTGGTACTGTACACCTGTACAGTACTCTAACTCCAACTTCAGGGGATTGAGTGTTCTTTTCTAACCTCTGTGGGCACCTGCACACATGTGGCACACACACACACACACACACACACACACACACACACACAAAGTAAATCTTTTAAGAAGTGAGAAGAAAAAAATTAAGTAAAATTCTCTTAGGCTAGACAAGCAGTGAGTACAAGCTACACATAACGACATGGGCTGATGTCTAATTAACAAGGAGATGTGAACTATGCCAGGTGCTGAAGATGAATGAAGACTGAGATTGTAATGGAGAACAGCTGAAGAAAGGCACACACTGTGCCTCCTTTTTTGGAAAAGTCCTGACACTATTCTTTTGTTCTTGGTCTTTTCTACGCCTGGGTTTCCATGTTGTATCTGTATATACTTGAACACCTACTGTGTGCAAGGCAAGGCTGCTTATTGTTGACATCAGCTGACAGGTTTAAGGAGATTAAAGGCCTCTACAGTTTTTTTTTTTTAACAAAACAAAAAAAACAATGGATAGTTAGAAGACCTCCAAAGTAAACAAGTCAGAAGGTTTTGTGCACTTCAGTCTCCTAGCAGTGGTTTAAGTAGATTATTATTTCCTTTTAAGATTTATTTTTATTTATTTAATGTATGTATATGAGTGCTCTATCTGCATGTACATCTGATCCCATTACAGGTGGTTGTGAGCCACCATGTGGTTGCTGGGAATTGAACTCAGGACCTCTGGAAGAGTAGGCAATGCTCTTAACTGCTGAGCCATCTCTCGAGCCCTCTTAAATAGATTGTTGCTAAGGCTCCTTCTAGTTCCTGTCCATTTTCTTTCTAATCTGCCTTAGTTTGTCTCAGTTATCCTTTGCCTTGGAGTTTGTCCTGGGTATTACTATTTGAGAGACTGAGTTGCTTGGTGTTGCATCTGCATCTAGCAGAAGGCCCATACCTATGGTGAGGTGCTAGACCAGGTCTGCCTCAGACAGCCCTTTAGGGTCCTGATAGTCTAAAGCAATCACCCTGTGTTCTGTCTGTAGCACACTGTAAAGGCTGTCATTCAAAAATGATTTGCTTTGAGTTAAAATCATCCTCAAGGAGGGTTGGAGGAAATGAGCAACTTTACATATTGCTGATGGTGTAAAATGGGGTAGGCCTCTGAGAAACCATGTACAACTTTTCAGAAAGTTAAACAGTAGTCCCCGTTTACCCAGCGACTCCAGAACAAGAAGTAGGTTTCCACAGAGAAATTAGGGCAAATCACGGTTGTAGTGGTACTTCACAGAACAGTCCTGAAGTAGAAACTATGTAGATGTCCTTCAGTAAATATGGTATTTTCTCTCATCACCCATGTGACATGGTTTAGCTAAAAAAAATTTTTTTTGTTCCTGTGATGTTTTAAGTTTTTAAAGAATAAGAAATTGAGAAAAGTTAGGGATCCTGCTTTTTTTTTTTTTTTTTCTACAGAAAATGTTGTCTAGCCCAGCTGTGTCCTCAGCATCTGAGGGATTAGGCCTGCCCTGTTAGTCACTGTCTGAGGCATTCTTGAGTCTTGGTCCCAGTGTTGTCTGAAAGATTTGTCTCTTGAAATTGCCATCCAAACAAGATAAGTTGTTTCTGGAGATTACAAGTTAGCCATGTAAGTCAGTGAAGTGTATGCTTTGAAAATGATCGGTCTTCTTAAATTTGAAAGAATAGGAGCTGAGCCCTCTTGTACTCTAGTAAAGGAATCAGTCAGCGTTGTTGGAGGCTTCTGATAGATGCTGTCCCTGTGAGTTGGATGAGATCTACACTTGGCCTCAACTGAGAGAGGTCAGAGGCTGGCAACTGGTAGCATAAACTCTTGAATTATGACAACTAGAATAATTTTGCTTCCTCTTACTGTCTTGGTTAAAGTCACCACACAAGTTTGTGCTTGCTTGCATCAACATGCTATTTGCACAGCTTCAAGGTCTTGGAATGTAAAGACCTATGTATTTATTTTAGATTTGAGTTCTTTAAAAATCAAGTATTTGTATTTTAATTTATTTGTAAAATTACTAAATGTCTTTAAATACCAAACTCAGAAGTATTCATGATAGAGGATTTTTTTTAATATTATACAATATACATTGTAAAATATTTAGTATACTTAGCAAAAAGAAAAAAGTTACTCATATTCATATGTTTGTTTTTTGTTTTTTGCGATACTGTGTAGCTTTCACTGTCCTGGAAATCACTTTGTAGAAGAATCTGGTCTCTAACTCACAGAGATCTGCCTGCCTCTGCTTTCCAAGGAAGATCTAAGATTAAAGGCATGAACTGCTATGCCCAACTAAGTTACTCATATTCTTAATAGCCAGAGATAACTGAATACTTTTAATGCTTAGTGTATATTTTAGGGTCATTTGTGTGTGTGTGTGTGTGTGTGTGTGTGTGTGTGTGTGTGTGTGTGAAAGTAATCATATTAAACTGCTTTACAGTTGTTCACTGGATATGTGTTGAGGTTTCTCTCATGTGAGTATAATAAAATCAGTGGCACCTTTACAGGTAGTACTGATGGATGTGCTTTTTGTTGGTTTTGGTTTTTTATTTGTTTGTCTCAAACTGTAGTCCAGCTGTTCTTGAACTCCATAACTAGCCCAGGCTGGCCTTGAATTCACTACAGTTCTCCAGTTTCAGTTTATCGAGTTCCCAGGTTCTAGATGCTACCATACCTGTCTCTGCAGCATCTGGGCCTGTCAGGTGCTTCTGACAGTTTCTCTTTTCCTCCTCTTTCCCCCTTTATTGTTGTTGCTCATGCTCTTTCTTCTTGTCTTAAATTTATAATTATTTCATAAGTAACATCCAGAAACTCTTACAAAATACAAAGCTATAGCTAAGGTTAATACTTCTCTCCACTCTGTCCCCAGCTCATTCCCATCCCCATCCTGTACTCTCCAAAGAGAGTGCATTAGACATTGAGTTATATGTCCTTCTATGCCTTTCTGCATGCTTACGTATGTATTTGTAAAAACATAATTTTGTGGATCCCCTCCACTTTTGTTTATTGTTTATTTTGTTTCAAGACAGGGTCACTATGTAATAGACAAGGCTGGCCCCAAATTCAACTATCCTCCTGCCTCTAACATTACAGGCATATGCCACCATGTACAGCTTTGGGTTTTGCATGGTGTGCACTTGTACACAGACAACACACTTTAAATATATATAAATTATATATCATCATTATGTTAGTTTTATTATAATTTTTTTGTAATATGTAGGTAAGGTACAAAGAAACTCAAAGAATTTCTCAAAGATTTCTCAAAGAAAAATACATGAAACTGCTTATAATTTCAAACCAAAATCAAAGAATTTTGGTTACAAATCTTTAAAACATATTTGTATTCATTATTGAATCCTAGAAAGATGACTTTTTGTTTGTTTGTTTTGAGACAGGGTCTCTCTTTTATAGTCCTGGCTATCCTAGAACTCATTATGTAGCCCACGCTGGGCTCGAACTCACAGGGACCTTCTTGCCTCTGTAAAGGTGACCATTAACTGTGCTTTTCCCATTTGTTGCTTAATAACACTTGATTTAGTTCGAGTAATTCTTCCTCCACAACCACCCAACAGATTTTCAGTTTCTCTTTTTAAGACAGGGTCTCCTCCAGTAGCCCTGACTGGGCTAGAACTTGCTCTGTAGACTAGACCAGCCTCAAACTCAAGAGATCTGCTTGCCTATGCCTACTGAGCTCTGGGAATGAGCTATGCTCTCTTATATTTGATGTGTGAGACTAGTCTACATTCTTAACCATTGATTCTTTAATTATGTTGTGCTTATCAAAGGAAGGTTTATTTTGGGCTGTTTTAAGTTTCTGGAAAAAAAAAAATGTGAGCATTTGACTTGTTCTCATTTGAGACTTTAGTCTGACCATGGAGTGTTAAAGGATCTGTTTCAGTTCCTATCCCAGGGAAGAGGCTTCCTCAGACACATGTCCCATGTGACACTTCTGTCCTGTCATTCTGTTCTGGTGCTCTACTCCCTTTCAACACAGAGACACATGGCTCTGAAACTTGCCCAGTGTGGCTGCTTTTCTTGCAGAGTGAACTCTGTTCTTCTTGTAATGAGAAGTACTAGCCCCCTCCCCACTTCCATCTAGAGAGAGTGCTGCACAGTGTCAGGATTTAAAATGAAACCTTTGTTATAGCCCATGGGGAAAAATGGATCCAGTCCAGCCACAAACATCACTCCCTGCCATTCCTAGCCTATCAAGAGTTTTAGCAGCTCTGAAGTTTTTTAGAGGGAAATAATTTTTGCTTTGTTTTGTTTTGCTTTGTTTTGCTTTGCTTTGGGGCAGGCACTTAAAATGGCATGGGGGTGCGGGAAGTAAAGGCATGGTGTGTTTTGTGCCATTGAAAATGAGGACAGTTGAGGAGGGCCAGGCTGGAGCAAACTGTGATTGACTTGTAGCTGTGGTATGACTTGTGGGCACCAGAGGGTCAGCAGTACAAGTTGTCATTCAAAGGAAAGATATAAAGATTGCCAGAATTTGATAAAGCTCTGGGGTTTTCTTATCAGGGAAGGATGCTATTCAACGATAAAGACTTAGGTTGGGACAAAACTCACACCACCTTTTTCCAGGATTTGAGAATGATTGCCTGCTTTGGCTTTCTGTTTATTAATCTAGCCTAGAGCTGTTCCCCCACTGCACCCCTCAGAGTACCACAAGTAATTTGATTGGGTGGAGTGGGGGGAAGGTAAAAGATACTTTGCTGACCACGAATTGTTCAGGATAGCCCTTAGGCCTGTGTGCCTGGTTTCTCTCTCTAGCACCAAGTTTGAGTTTGCTTTTTATTTCAGAGGATTTCAGCTGTGGTTTACTCCTTGTTGCCAAAGGAGCTCCAGGCATGCACCACTGTTTAGGATCCAGCGGCCACATTTGGCAAACACTGGTTTGAATGACCTCTCCTTAGAAGCCCTAGGTCACTGGCTGGATTTCTGCCTCCCTACATTACAGGCTCTTCCTGTATTGGGAGTGGCAGTTGGCCAGGGCATTGTATTTCCACTGGTCTGAAAACATACAGACCCGATGAGCAGAGGCTTGTGAGAGGGAGGATAGCAGCACAGGAAAGGCTGGAAACAGGCCATTGGGAGCTCTAGGTTTGGGGTTCTTGAACGGAGAGTTTGGGACCCATGGGTGGGCAGTGAGTGTGATAATGCCTAAGAAGGCAGAGCAATGTTCTTTCCTTTTCATTTTTCTTTTTATTTTTAAATTTTAGATAAGCTATTGCTGTATATCCTTGGCTGATTTTGAACTTGAGATCTTCCTGCCTCAGCCACTCAAGTGCTGGGTTTACAGGCATGATCCGTCATGTCTCATTTCTAAAGTAATTCTTTAAGTAAAGAAAGGTTTTTTTTTTGTTTTTTTTTTGTTTTTTTTTTATTAGATTCCTTTTACAGAGTACAGTTTTCATAAAGGAGACTTTTAGGGATAGTGTAGATATTTGTGTTTAAAGGAAATATGTTCACTGTTTACAAAACCTGTTTCAAACAGAAACTCTTGTCAGTTTGAATCCACTTAATGGGGGGGGGGGCATTTAAGAAATAGCCTGCCAAAGTGTAATAACTTATAGCTATTTATCCAGTAATTGAGTTGTTTTCATCTCTAAGCTTGGAATACTTGTTCTCTTTCTTCTTCTATATGTGCAGAACTGTGGAATAAGTAGCAAAGAAACTTCCTCGGTAATAGTTGTGTACTTGGGAGAGGGGAATTGTTCTTCTGAGTGCTTTTAAGGATGAGCCTCAATAATGGAATCCCTGTATTTATAGGATGGAGACATTCCCTGCAGTGGCTGAGAAGGTCCTTAAGGAGTTCCAAGTATTACTACAGCATAGCCCATCTCCTATTGGAAGTACCCGTATGCTGCAGCTTATGACCATCAACATGTTTGCTGTGCATAACTCCCAGTTGAAAGGTAAGGGAAATCTAGTTTTTCTCCATCTAGACAGAGTTGAATTTAGTATCTTTCCGATGCTACCTTATCACTAACTCAATCTCCATATACGCAGACATACACAGAGAAACAGAAACTCAGACACACACACACACACACACACACACACACACACACACACACACACACGTATACCTGTCTCCCTTCTATTGCTTCTTAGATTCTTTATTTCAGTCTTTAAATTCTGTGAGACTCTGTAGTGATTAGGTGGAATAAAAAGAGAGATTCATAAGTATAAAGTTTAATTTAAAAATCTAGAGATGCTGTTGCACATCTGGCTATGCTAATGGCAGCAGCAAGGCCTCTTAGAGGCTGCATACCCAGGACTTCTCCCAAGAGAGAGACATTGCTGAAATGTTTCATTCCAGAGACCGTATGCTTGGCAGGGATTGGGAGTTGCTGTTTCTGGACTTGTGTACCCTGTTTGTTCAATATGGAAAAGTCTAGTTCCCTATGGGATATCCCTTATGGGACCCTGCCAGAGGGTAAGAACAGAGAATTGATGAGCTTTGGTGACTCAAATCTGGAGGCACAAAAACCACCAGTCCCAGAATTTGACCAGTGTACTGGGGTATGTGTTTTGAAGTGTTTTTCTGAGCCCTTTTTTTTGGTATGGGGCGGGAGGTGAGGAGGGAAGGGCAGATTGGCAGGATTTTAAAATGTTCTGATGACCATGTCACATTTGAAGGATGTTTCTAGGATTCCTTCCCCTCCCTCTACCTCAGTTAGGTAAGGCTGATGTGGTTTGACTTGATAGAAATATGTAGTATGAGTGACATTATTTTGTGTTTCTTTACAACACGTTGCCAAGGAGTCATTCCAGAGCGTCAACAGAGAATGTTTGGTCAGATTCTTATCTGCAGTGCCAGGAAGTAGGAATTGCCCCATGGAGACTGTGTCATAAAGCAGATGTAATGTCTCTGGACAGTGCCACTGGCTCTTTGGTTTACCTTTTCTAAGAAATTTCTTCTCTCACCTGCAGTCAATCTGCTTCCCTTCCTGTCTGTATTAGGATCTATGTTCAGCTTGTTGCTGGTGGGGAACTTCCCTAATGAGTGAGCATGCCATACTTTCCCTGCAGACAGGGATTCTCCTAGGATTGGAGGAGCTTCTTAGCTGGTCTGCCTGGGTTTTCAGTCCCATCTGAATCCTGGAAGACATTTCCCCATCAGGGTGACTTACACAGCATCCAGAATGTTCAGCAGTGGGCAAGATACAGAGGCTTAGGAGCCTTCATAACTTAGCCAATTTTTGCTGAGGTGGCTATTGCAAGAAGACCTGGAGCCTTAAGGGACAGCACTAGTTTCTAAGAAGAAGGAAATAAGAAAGTCTATAAAGTCCTATCCTAGTGAGGCTGTGCAGTCCTAAAGGGAGGGAAATTTTTCTACTAAGAAGGAAGCTCTCAGGGTGTGGTGGCTCACGCCTTTAATTTTGGTCTACTTATCAAGTTCCTGGCTAGCCAGAACTACATAGTAACACTGCCTGCTCACTGGGCTCTGTAAGTAGGGCCTCCAGTTGCCCCTGTATTCATTTTTTGCTTTCCTACCCAAGCCACCACTGCTGTGTGAGCTGGAGAGCTGGGACAAACAGTTCAGCAACAGATGACCTATGGCCTCTGTAGGTGTGAATGTAAAGAGCCTGTTTTCAACAGCTTTTGGTGTGTGGAAAGGAATACCCTAGACTTTTCATAGACCACCAGTGAGTCTTTTTCTTGTAGCTGTTAAGTAAAGGTTAAGAAAATATGGGTGAAAGGAAGGTAAGAATAGAGAAGGACTCTTGCATATTTGAGGCCAAGATACTTTTGTAAAACTTTTCTGTAGTTGGTCATAAGGTGGATCCTCTAGTCAGGAATGACAAGTAAAGGCCTGTGGCCCCACTCCCTGTACTGCCCTTGCCCTGGCTCTCACCTCCATGAGGCAAGAGGAGCCTGAGCTGAGGTGGTCACAGGCTCCAAGAGTAGTTCAGGGAAAAACAGCCCAGGCCACAGGATATAACACTCAACTGGGACACAGAGCTCTGCGGACGTGCTGCCAAGTACCCGGTGTGCAGCTGAGGCGGCCATCCAGACCCCACTGTGTGGGCTGCCATTGGGATAGGGGTGAACAGAGCACTCAGCAGGGCTGGTTGGTGGGAAGATGCACTTTTCCATTTCCCAGCACATGAGTCATCTTCTCTGGGCCCCTGTGCTGTGCTTGCACGGACAGTGGCAAGAAGGGGGTGTTGTGGCTGAGTAGCAGCATCTGTGCCGGGGGTGGAGAGAGAAGAGGGCTGGGGAGAGGGTAACGATTTAAATCCTTCACTAATCAGCAGCACTTTGAATCACATTTTTATGAGTAAGGAAGTGATAAATCAAGCTCTGTGTGTTCAGCCCCCAAGTCCTGTCAGCTGGTGCCCTTCTAACGGGTTCTCTCCCATCCAGTCTGCAGGCTGTCATAGTCACCACCCAACCACAGGTCCCTGGCTGTCTGAAACCAGGAAGTAAGGCCTGACACAGCCTGGCCTCCCAGGTGCTTCGGGTCCATGGTGATTTGGCAGTCATTGCAAGTTACAGAACATCTGGACCATCATTTTTCTTTCCATTCCCTCTTGGATGTGTCCTTCTGGGGGGGTGTTTACATGTGTCAGTTCCTGGATTCTGTAGAGAAGAGCATTCCAGCCTGAAGCAGAGGTGATCTTCTAGCCCACAAGGAAGTTAGATCTTTTGTCTGTGCCAGAGCCATTTCCATAGATGTAGGATCAAAATTATGATTTGGAGAGCAACAGAGCTTCCTTAAAAAGTGTGTCCTTTGCTGATGGCTTCCAGTCCTGCAGTACCATCATAGTTCATTCTGTGTTTTGTGCTCCCTTTTCAAGAACTACCTTCTACTACAGTAGGTCAGGGATACACATATATGCTTGCTAACACTTTATTGTGTTTACTTTTAAAATATGCTTTTATTATAGACTTGAAATATTTAAAAGCTTTGGATATGATAGCAGACAAAGTAGAGGGGCAAAACTGTGGTAGAGAGAATGGTGTCCTTCCCCTACATTAGGTTCTGGAGACACTAATTTCCTCCGTCATGAGCCCTGTGCAAGATCCTACCCCTGTTGTATTATCGTCAGCTTAGAATCCTAGTACTTTCTACATCTACGAGATGATTGCAGACAGATACGTTTGAGGTCAGGATGGGATATTTGGGGGTCCTTAGGCTGGTATTCCTTTGACACAGGTATTTGTTGAATGCAGGGAGTTGAAGGCCATGGCTCTAGGAAAGCTGTGTGCTTTGCTTGGCTAGTCCGCAAAGCTGGTGGCTGAATGGTGGTTCCTGGAGTGATGTCACAATGTCTGTAGCATTCTGAGACTAAAAGGAGAAAAGGCCTTCTTTGCGTATCTCAGTATTAATGCTTCAGTAGCCATCTGGGTAGCTGATAAGAAGCTAGAAGGTAAACCATTGAACTTAACCACAAGTACTTCAAGAACTTTAATTAAAAAAAAATGTAATTTAAGGAAATAAAACTAGTTTCTCGAAGACAAGTAACTGAAGCAACATTTGTGGTAGGGCATCATGGAAACCTCTTTGCATCCCCCATCTGTGCCTGATTTATTCCAATCTGGACTTTCCCTTGGTGCCCCTACTCTTTTTAAAAATATGTTTTTATAATTTTTGAAATCAAAACCATCTCAGGCACACTGTTTTATTTTACTGTATTATTGGATTATCTTTCCTATAAATCACTGGATGTTACTCATTGCCTGCCATTAGAATAACTTCCCATTTCTGTGCCCTGGCCTTTTCTTTTCCCTTCTCTATTAGTTCATAGAGTATGACTCCATTTCAGCCCTACAGAAAAGCCATAATAGCAGCAAGAGGGCACCCAAGAGATGCTTCTTTTGTGTGTGTGTGTGTGTGTGTGTGTGTTCATGTTGCTTGCTCTAAGGGAACATTTAGTGGTTAGAATTGAAGCAGAGTTAGACTGGCTTTCATTTCATGATCCCTTGTGTTTGCTTTTGTTTTGGCTTCTGTTTTTTGAGACGCATCTCATTCTGTAGCCCAGGCTGGTCTCAAGAAATACACCACATCCTGAGTACTAGGATGACAGGTATGTACCACTATGCCTAGCGTAAACATGCCTTATGCTATTACTATTCCTGAATTGCAGTAGTTAGAGGAAGTGATGCATGGTTGTCTTAGGGGAACTGAGAACTATAGCAGCCTACCTGGCACTAACAGTTTGACCTGTAGGCATGAGTTTCTTCATGCCAGTAATTATATATGGGAGGTGACCATGGTTGGGAAGTTCATTTCACAATCAGAATGTGTCTTTCTGCATATAGCATCCCTAAGACTTTAGGAAGAACAGTTTTTTCTCTCTTCCAAGTTACTATCAAGTCTTTTACTCAAGCAGAATGTATGAAGTGTCTGATCCTCTGCTTGACAAAACAGTTGTACAAAGGAAATCCACCTTTCATAAGGGGTTACTCTTGGGAAGACAGGTTGGAAGAGCCTCTTTGTCATCAGGCTGTTTAGCCAGACTCCTCTCCCTTGGCAATCTGATTGTGGCTATTGCCGAATTTCCTGGAAAAAAAGACAAGAGTGACAGAAGTAGATGTATCAAGGGACTCACCTATTTTCCCAGTTCTGAGTTCCAGTGTCTGTCTTGTTTTCAGAATGAGTCTACTGCTTTAGGCTGAGGAAAGAGAAACAGTACTGAAAAGTTAAATGAGGAAGTTCAGTCATGTCAATAAAATTAAGCTTACTCTTAGCATATCTATTAAGGAAATGCTCTTTGTTTACCTGAAGATAACCGTGTGGCTTAGTGTCCTCTGGTTGGTGTCATGAAAAGGTGCAACATCCCATTATTAGACAAGATTATGCTAAGTGGTGTATTTAGTTTTTGTTGCCATTTAATTCTCAATGTGGAATCTTTTTTTTCTGCCTGGAAAGATTTACACTAAAGGAGAAATACTGTTTAGGGGA